TCAGTCCATGGCGTGGGGAGAGGAAAACCCCACTTAACAGGAGAGGCTGTTTGACCCCTCACATCTTGGTTTAGTTTATTTAGTGAGTACAAAAAGCCTCCAGCTTTTTCCTGTTTCTGGTGGTGGTGAGGTCAGTACAGGCCTTGCACAGGATGGCCTTGGCCACGTCACTGCAGGGTGGAAGGGACCCAAGAGCCCACCCTCACCCCAGTCTGCTCCCAACCTGCTCGAGGGCACGAGGCCATGGAGGTGTCCAGATGGCTTTGTGCCACTGGTGCATAGGATGAGTCCCAGCTCAGCTAATAGGGGTGGCTCATCCTGGGCTGGCTGTCTCTCTGCCTCACTGACAGCTGGGAACTTCCCTGGAGTTGCATGCCCCAGTTCCACTATTGGACCTGTTTGTCCAGAGGAAGCAGACACCCATATCACAAGCCACTGGCTGGCCCCAGGCACAGAACTGACAGCTGCCGTGGCTGTGGAGATTTCACAGCCTGGACGTCAGTGTCGCTGAGGATGGCCTCATTTGAGAGAGAGGAAGGGGCCATTGTTTTCCCAGATAACTCCCCATGACGCAGCCTGCAGCTGGTGCAAGTAGGAAATGCTGATCTGCTTCCTGCCCTGGCACAGGGATGTTTTCCCCCTCCTCAGAGCCTGGCAGCTCTGTGCTGGGCAGGCTGTAGTGGTGGCAATGGGATGCCCTTAGCACCCAGCTAGAATGGCTGTGCTGCACTGCCTGCAGCACACGGCTGTGTCCCACCTGCCCCTGGAGAGGGCTGCTGCCACAAACAGCCAGCACCCAGAAAACTCGCCTGGCAGAGATGTGCATGTCTGACCTGATACTAGGGTTATTTGTCCTTGGGATTGAGAAATAGCTTTTTTTCTGTGAGATGAGGACATTTGCAGTGGGAGCACGTGGGGTTGTGGTCCAAAGCCACTTGGAGCTTGCTGTTACAGAAGGGGTAGTTTCACATAGGGAGGGGGCTGTTGAAGGAATCACTTCAGTTTCAAAGTTCAGAAGCAGCTGGCAGAGAAGTCTGTGCAGTTGCTCATGTAGTTTAGTTTGGTCTAGTCACTCTGCTGGGCCCTCTGGAGACAACCCCTGCAAAGGAAGGAAGGGGGAGCAAGGCAGACATGAATGTCTGTACAGACAAAGCAATTTAACTGTTATAGTATCGGTTTATAGTGGTAAAATATGCTCTTGAATATCCTATCTGGTAGCTTGGGAGCTTCCATACCCCAGCTTCAGACCAAAATAACCACTGTGGTATCCCTGCTCACTGATGACAGGGCTGGTGTAAGGGGACTGAGGTAGTGCCACAGCTTGCAGGGAGAGTGAGGCAAGCGCTTCCGGTTCTGCTTGCAGGTGCCAACAGAAAGTGTCTCTGAAGAGATCTAACATTAATCACACTTCTCTGTACTACTCTCCCAGAAAGAGCAGGTCATGTCCTGACTGGATAAGATCATGTCCTTTTAGCTGATTGCCAGTTCTTCCTCTGCAAACAGATCATTGCTTACTGCTCTTGCAGTCTGTGCTCCAGCCAGGGATGCTGTTTAATGCTACTTGCCCCTTTTTCCTTGTGTTATCCTGGGATTGTCCCAGCCTCAGAGATACTGCAAACCCTAGGCATCTCAAATACATGACCCAGGTGCTGTCCCCACACATACGTGCAGTGTAGCTGGGTTTTTGCACTAACATTTTCCACTTGCCTGCTTGTGGACAAGTTTTTGGGAGTGTCACTTCCCTGTTTTTTCCCCAGTATTAAGTGAGAGACTGTCACATAAACATGATTCCAGGAGCTGTGGCTTTGACAAAACTTCTGCACAGCACAAGACCTAGGTTGGCAGTTCTGGAAAATCCCTAGATAAATATATTTGACAGTGAGAACACATTATCTTTTGATCTTGGGATCATGAAGGCACTTGTTCTTGGCAAATTCCTTCCACAGCTCGAGCAGAAAGAACAGCATGGTGTAACAGGAAGTGCTGGAGAATTTAGATTATCCCAATGCCCTTTATAATGCTATTGCTCTTGTAGTACTTGTCTGTAGACTCTTGGATTATTCGCCTTCTGTGTTGTTCTCCAGATGGGATTTTTCTAATCTTCAGACACCAGGTTCTGCACCAATTTCTCCATTTAACTGTTATAAACTCCCTTATAGTCAGTGACCTGTATACACCTGAGAGTTCCTGGAGATGCCCCAAAACTTTTGAAAGCTTGACTTATGATCTTGGTGTTACACAGCAGAAAACCTACCTGGTGGCCAAAAGAAGGACAAAAGCTCCTATGTGGGTTCTGTGCTGGAGTGTGTGTTGCAGTTCTTGGAGTCAAGGCACTAATGTGATGTCAGTCTCTCTTCTCCTGTAGCTGCCCTGTTTTCTCAGCACTTGCAGGAAGATAAGGATCCTTGAGGCCTCCATCACTGTCAAACTGCATTCAGCTTGGCTGACACGTTCAAAGATTCAACATGCCCATGTGTATGTTTGGTATGTAATTGAGACACCTTACTTTCTTAGGAAACCAGAGTTAAAAAATGCCCCAACCAAACTATAAATTACTTCCCTTTCTTTAATTCTTGGTTAACGCTTAAATGCTTCCTCAGTGCATATTGTGACATGACTTCAACTTGGAGCCTGTTTGACCTAAGAATATAACCCCCTTAGCCTAAACCTTCTGCCTCAGTCTTTCATGAAGCCAACTATTTATGTGCACATCTGTAATCCTCTCCCACTCATGGCCTCTGAATGGTGGGCTACCATATGTATTTAGTGCAGATATAACTGTTCCCCATGGTTTGATATACACGTTAAAGTAATTTTTTTTCTAAAATCCACATTTTTACCATGGGAAAGACTGTTTTCACAAGTCCTGTTATGTGGTTTGAATGAGATTGCAGCAAAGGGAGATTAGCTAATTACTCTGGGGTCGTTTTGCCTTTGGTGTGTGAGAAAGTTTCATGGCTAACATCCATACATATTAGCCAGGAAACTGTGGGAGAGCAGCCTCCATCACTCCACACCTGAACATCTTGAGCTACCCCACTGATTTCAAATGACTTGTAACTCATGAGGGCGTTTGGATCCAAGCTGCTCTTCTCCAAGGGATTCTATGCTCTGCTTGATGCCATAAATAGCATTCAAATGCCATGAAGTGAGATGACTCCCATCTGTCAGTCTGGGAAGGCTAGCCAGCTGCCTAAGGAAGTCTGGAGACAAAAATGTGATTTAAATAAAATCTGTAGGGGGATTTAAGTCATACTTTTTTTCTAATGAGTGTTTATCTTGTAACTGTATCTCTATCAAACAAATGCTGTGAGATGTTCGTAGGGCAGTAAAAGCTCACATCATTGCTGTAGAAGTCAGTGCCTGTTTGGAGTGGGAGTGGGAACTAGTTGTGTTAATTAGAGCTGGGACCCATGGGCCCAGCAGGCTGAGAAGTGCCCCCTTTCATCCTGTGCCATTGGCTGTTAGCCCTGTATTGAAGCCTTGCCCAATCTCTATGGCTGGCTGAAACATTTCAAAAATCATGTTTTGGTGCCATCTCTTAGCCCTCGATATCTCAACCACCTCTGGGGCTGTTAGTCCTTTCTTATGCCTGATCTAGTGAGGCCCAATTATAATTTCTTCTTGCTTTGGTCAAGCATCTTTTCTGGGGAGAAATAAGCCCTGGATGTTGTTATCTCTGCCACAAGGCTGCTAATTCTCAGCCTGCTGAACTGGTGGTAGGGCTTAGAAATGTCCTCATTTTTGTTAGCACTGCCTATGAGCAGTCGAATCTTATTTAACTTGGATTTGCCTCTTCTCTTATTAGATTGTCACCTGTGTTTCTAAGTATACACTACTACTTCTGGAAGCCTCCAGTTTGCAGCAAACCCAGAACCTCTGGGTGATATTTCTGAATGGTACTTCTGATACTGAAGAAGTTGCTGAAAGTTAGCTGTCACTGCCTGTAAACAATCTTTTGTTTTAAAAGTCATCTTCACACTGTTGTTGTGGATTTTCTTGTCCGGAAATTTCAAAGTTGTTCATCAGAGACAGCTATGAACAGTGGTCTTAGATGAAGGAACAGAGGTGCTCCCCAGAGCACTTGTAGTAAGGACAAATCCCTTTTTTTTGGGTTGTCTTATCTAAAGGAAGCCAAAATTTCAGATGTCATTGAGGGGCTCTTCTTTCTGCCCCTCATCTTCACTTTTCCATAGAAATCAAACTTGCTCTCGGGAATTGCAAGGAACGTTTAAAATCTGTAGTCTTGCATGAGGAAGTTGGTCCTGTGGCTTACCGTAGGCTTCCAGGAGTTCCCAGGTGTGTGGCACCTTGAGCTAATAGCTCTGGCAGTGTTTCTGAGCTCTTATGTTACCAGTAGGTCGACACTGGAATGTCTTGAAGGTCATCCTGAAGCCATCCTCATGCCGTGTGGAGGATGCTCACGTGCTTTGGTGGTCATGGTCACCTGCTCCTCACCTGAGACCACACATGAAGGCCACCACTGCAGTGGCTCTGGGGTTGCCCTGTCACATCCACCTGCATGCCTGAGCACCTCTGATTGTTGCCTCTGCTCCTTTGCATGCAGGAAATAAGGCACATAGGAAGTGCACACAATCGGAGTGCAGTGCCCTTCACTGCTGCCACAGCTTCTGCCCCCAGGGTGATCACTGCTCAGTACAACAGCCCGGCAGGCCTCTACTCCTCAGAGAACATCCAGACCTTCAACAGTGCGGTGGAGACAAAAACATCACCTGGGGCCCTGGAGCCCACCAAGCCGTAAGTACTTCCCTCACCTCCCCTTCCCTCCCCTCCCTCCCCGGGCCTCCAGGGAAAGATTTCAGGAGACACGAGTTCACTACAGAGGTACCAGTTTGTTAAACCAAGAAAAGCTTTCTTTCAGGACAGTGGAAGTAGAAGAGGCACAAACGTGGATGTTGCCAGGGACAGGGCTCAGAGAAGTGGGGAACGTTTCATGAGGTGCAGACATGACATTAATGCTGTTGTGTTTCTTTGTTTAGCAGAGACCGAAGCAGTTTCCGTGTGCGTTCAGCATGACATACCAGCCCGCTGGTCTGAACAGGTGCCTGATAGCTTGTTACAAGCACTTCCTAAAGTTAGTGTTTTGTGCTGGCTTCACTGCAATGCTGGGCAGGAAAGGCACCAGCTAGTGCAGGAAGCACACCCATCCCTGTTCCCAGCTGGCCTGGGATTCATAGACAGGCTCTGCCTCAGTTTAGATATTTCTGTGTTTTATTATTAAACTTTGCTTTTTCACAGGAGTTTTGAAAAGTAGCTGAAACATTTATTCCTATGTGAGGGGTTTTATGTATGAGATTGGAAAGGGTCCCAACCTTAAAAAGGCCTATTTATTTTTGTGTTTGCAACTGAGCCTCACCAAAGCATTATTTTATCCTAGATTTTCAAAGTTCCCCTTTTTTTCATTGGACGTAATAAACCAGGAGCTATCTGGAAGTTTTCTGGCTGTGATGGTCAGGTTGCTTAACTGCCCTAAATCTATGCATAGCAATATCAAACTGCCTAGGCAGCTTTGGCTGTTTTTATAATAAAAGCTGGAAGACCAGTGCTTTTGGTAGTACTTGACTAAATTTCTGGGGAGGCAAAAGTAACTTCAGCCTCTGCTGTTGCAAGGTACAACACCTGATTGTGGTTTAACACAAGCCTGACAACTTGCCTGTGAGTGAAACCAGCTCCTTGTATTGGCAGCCCAGTCTGCAGCATGGTCCCTTCCAGGCAGTTACAGTGCTGTAGCTGCCAGATGAGGTGACAGATTGTTCTTCATTTGCTTCTGATAGACTCAGCAGCCTTCATTCAGGGGCTGGGCAAAAGCAGAGCAAGGACAAGGAAAATCTGACTTTGCATTAACCAAATGGGGCCATCTGGCAGTGAGATACCATCCCTGGTCTAGTCTGGCATCCTCTCCATGTGAGAGCTTCCCCTGGAAGCCAGGTAGATTTGGCTGGAAAATCGTAGCTGATCCCTTTCTCTTGCAGGGACCAGCAAAGAGGTGGGTTCCTTCTAGGGCTGTGGCTCACTCTGCTCCTCCTTAGCAGGAGCATCCACTGCCAGCCCTGCTCCATTTTGGATACATGACATCTCATTCATCTTTTCCTTGCTGAAACACAGCAAGTTGCAAAGAAATGCTGGGAAAACTGGATGAGGCTTTATGCTAATATGCTTTAGTTTACAGAGTCATCAAAAGCAAATAAGTTACTGCTGGGTTTGTGTGAGAGCCAGGGACCTCAGCCTGCTGTTAAAAACCCGGTCTCCCCAGTGCACAAGCACAAGATGTCTAGGTTCTCCCTTCACACACCCTTCCAGCTGCCTTTAAATTCCTGCCCATCTGTTTTGCTGAGTTATTTGGTATATGCCTGACCTTGCTCTGGGTTTACCTGACATTTATCTGCATCCTCATCCTGCACCCTGCAGATACACAGCCTGTCTGAACCCAGCACTTGATCCTGTCACTGCACATGGTGATGTGACTGGAGACTTAGTATCTGCTTCATCCTTAGCGGGTGTGTAGTATAAACGCAGGGCTGTAGTACACATAGAAATAAAAGCAAATATCTCCACTGGATTTGATGTGACAAAGCAGGTGGGGGCAGAGAAGTCCTACTGCTGAGCACATCTCGTTTGGGATGGGAGGTGAGATTACTGCTCAGTAGGATGCCAAGGCTGGCTTTGAGAAGAGCAGCAGTGACAATGGCATTCCTTGTCTGGACAGTAGGACCTGCGTGCTCAGGGAGTTAGTTTACAATGAAACCCCTGCCACTTCTTCATTGCTTTTACAACCCATGCATTTGCTTATCAGTGGAGTGCTTTTTAGTTTTTGTGTGGACACACCTGGAGTGTGAGACCAGAGGCACAGCATTAGCCAGAAGCCTGTAAAGTTGTGTATTCAGTGGTGTGTCCTTCAGACGGTATTCTGCAGCTGCTTGATGGCTTGAAGTATTTCGCTTTGTCCTTCATTAATTTCTTTCTTCTTTCCTTTCTTCCTCCTCTGCATTTTCGCCTCAATTTGGCAATGTAAACCCCAAACAAACCTTAAACAACCCCACGTGCCACTGCCCGTGTGGATGCGTGGGCTGGCAGCCGCCCATCGCCAGTGGGTGCGATGCAGGCTCCCGTGGCCTCTGTGTATGACCCTCTGCAGAGCTCCGAGCTGCGGCGTGGGCACAGCACCTCCTCCAGCCCCAGCCAGGTCCGAGTGGGGCCCGAGCAGCTGAAGCATGCAGCCCAGGTCTGCCCCAACAGCCCTGTGGAAGTGGAGGTGCCGGGACTCAAAGTGCTGCACGTGCAGTTCAATTCTCCCCTGCAGCTCTATTCGCAGAGCAACATCATGGACACCCTGCAGGGGCAGATCTCTTCTGTTAGCCCTGATTTCCCCAGGTAACCTGTCCACGGCCTCTGCAGCCAGCTCAGCACATCTGTTCATCTGCATTTTGGTGTCCATGAGTCCCTCGTCCCCGTCTGTGGCTCATGGCATTGTCCGGTCACAAGAAAACAGCATTTACATTTCACCTTTCCAATGTTAGTGCATGACTCTTCACAGGAGCTTTCTCTGCCTTGTGTCTGTGCCCAACACCACGGGAAACACCAAAAGATGTCTTTAGCATGTCAGTATGTCCATTGCCCCGTGCACACTCACACCGCGGGACCTGACAGAAACTGGTGGCTTTTCTGGACCATCCACCTGTAGCAGATGGGTTTGCTGAGGGTAGGAGAGTGCTTTATCCTGAAAGCTGGTATTTTTCCTGCACTTGGAATGACTTCTATTGTTTGTGACTGATAGGTGCTGCCAGTCTTTGTTCTTTTGTTTCGTTGGCTGTGGGTGTGTGCTGAGCATGTTTCATTTCAGGCTGAAGCAGGTGCCCATGCTCTCCGTCTTTGGCTGACAACACTCAGGAGTGTGGAGCAGCCTGGCAGGCACCAGTCTATGTTCTGCTTCTGTGCAGAGGTTGCTGCAGCACAGGCTACCTCTGCCCAAAGGAGTGGAAGATGCTCAGCATGCCCTGAGGTCTCAGGACCTGTGGTGAGCCTCAGCATTTCAAGGCCTGGGTGCTGTTTGATATCTTTGTGGTACTTGGGAGCCCCCTGGCCTGTACCTCTAAGTAACAGCCTCTGGGTTTTCCAGGGAGGACTTTAGTATCAGGACAGGTGAAACAGAAAGCACATTTAGCTGTCTCACAGGAGTCCAATCAAGGATGAATTGTGAACTTTCTGCCATGTGACCAAGCAGCTTGCAGCTGTGTGACATGTGGCCCCGGACAGTGGTCAATCCCAAGGCTTCCATGGGGCAGAAGAGGACACAGCCAGATCTCATAGCTCCTGGACTGCTCTAAGTTCCCTTCTGGGAACCATGTACTTCAAAGCAGAAAAGCTGGTGTCCTCACCCCTGGGCCAACACAGCCAAGCTTTGCCATGTGCCATGAGTCACGAGGTAGTGAGAGGCTGAGGATTTACTCCTGCCTTGTTACTCAGTGGGGTTAGTTGCTCTAAGTCAGTGCTCTGGCTTGTAGTCAGTACCATGCACACCAGAAGTGTCACACTGCCAGCTCTCTGTGCTGGCCTGGAGAGCTGATAGTGTTCACAAAGGAGCCCCAGACATCAGCAACTGTTTAACAGCAAAAAGGGGCGCTCCAAGCACGGAGCCTTCCCATAGCCTTGTGAGCTTTGCAAAATAGACTGGCATAAAATAGTAAAATATCATTAGTAAAAAATAAACTGTGCTTTTTGAAGATTCTGTGCAAGGCTGTGTCATTATAGTTTTTACTGCTATCTTCTTGATAATATTTAAGGCTCAGTGATCCAGTATTAGTCAGTGTTGCAAGTTGCCCATGGTAGCAGCAATGAGATCCAGTAATGGTTATGTAAGTCTAAGATCTGATAAATGTTGTTGGGGTTGTTCCCTACAAAGTTTCTGCATGAGGAAACTCGTGTGTATGGAAAAGGACAGCAGTTGCTGGTGATTGCTACAGATAAAGTACGTGTGTAACAGGAGGTGCCAAAAATCAGCTGGCATACAGAGACTCAATATCTTGCAGGTACAATTTCTGTGCCTGTGGCCTTGCCCTTTCAAAAGATACTCATGCTTTTTGGAGATGCTTTTTAATTTAAGCAGCATAGCCTTCTGCCCTGACAGCTTAAGGTATTTTACTCTGCTGGTACAAATCTGAGTTTGGTGTTTTTTATAGCCTTTTGGATGTCTTGTATATGCAAGTGAATGTATAGGGTCCATACGTGGGAGAGCTGATGTGTGTGTTTTGCACTGCCACAATGCATGGTTGAAATGTGATGGCTTTGTTTGACTCTAATGCTTTTTAAGATGATTCAGCCTCTGCTTTTTGGATGCATGTTATTGAGACATTCTTAGTATGCAAACTGCAATGAAAGGCTTCTTGCATAATGTTTTTATGGGTGGATAGAGCACTGGGAGTATATGAGTTTACATGAGATTAATGTAATGTGGAGCATGGGACATCTTCTGTCTAATAGAGGGCACATAATTATTTTATTTTGGGTAAGAAGCTTCAATAACTGAGATTCAGGCTTCAAAGGTTCTACTGTTTGCATGTCTAATGTGGTTCCTGCTCCACTGAAAATTGCTAAAGATGGAAACATTTCATGAAATTCTTTTTATGGAAATAGCATTTTATAACTCGTGATGATTTTACGTCTGATGTTTGAAGAGTTTATTATGTGGAGTAACTCCCAAATGTCTCCATCGGTCATTGGCATGGAAAGTATGCAGTTGCCTCCTCAAGAAAAAGATTTCCTTCTGCAATTTAGTTGGAATCTCAGGATGTTTATGTACTTTTCATGCAATCACAGAGTGCAAGAATGATGAAACCGAGTAGACCCTTTATATTTGTAAGACTACATTATAGAATTGAGCTATCAGAGGAGATTTGTCAGCTATTTCATTTTATCATATGTTTTACTGCAGCTACAGAACACAAGGCAGGCAGGAACTTCCTGTGTCCTTTAGTCCAGCATTTGGCACCTTAAAACACTGATTTAAAGAATTCCCACTGTATATTTGTCCAGACTACTATTTTAAAATCCTTTCGTTTGGAGGTTCCTCACCTGTCCACAACAATCTCCTCCGCTATTTCAGTGTCAATAGACACTTGGGAAAGCTTTTCCCAAGGAATATTCTAAATATCCTCCTGCCTATCCTTTACCCACTGCATGTGGAGAATATCCTAGGTACTGCCTCCAGACTCTTTTTTTATCCCCAAAGACCCTTCGAGTGGCACAATGACCACCTTTTCTGAGCCCCTGCACTGTGAAAAGCTGCCCCCGAAGCACCTTGGGCTCTAAGTCGAGGATGCAAATCCCTCATGGTGTGAGGGGTGGCAGCACCTCAGGACAGCTTAGCCTCAGCCTGCAGAAATCTCTGCCCTTGACCTGCTCATTAACCTTAGTAAAATACTGTAAATGGGCTGTGGCTCAGAGCCTCCACCTAGGAAATGGAAATAGTAACACTCACTTGAAAACCAGACTAAATTACTGCCAATCAGAGAATCTTCTAGTTAGATCCTACAGCTGTTACTTTGTGAAGGTGACATTTCCGAGCAATTCATAGGCTACTTGCAAAGATTTATTTAGTTTGAGATTCACAGTGATGTATGGTAGCAGTGTAAGATAGTTTATGCGTGCAAGGAATATGTGTGGATGATATAGCTACCACGTAGGATTCCCATCCCAGCACATGAATTCTTTATTTTCCTATTAACAGAGCTGTCTGTTCCTGGGCAGAAAGTTTTAGTTGGAGTGTATGGTAATTGTGGAGCAGGGAGAACCCTGGCCGGGGGCAGTCTGTGAGCAGCTGCTGACAGGAGCGTGGGCAGACAGCCCAGCGTGCCAGTCCCACCCTGAGCTCATCCAGCACCTCCGTGTTTGTGGCCTCCTGTCGTGCCTGTGCTCTGCACGTTCATTCTTCAGCCATATGATGCATTGGGAAAGTTTTGCTAGAGGATTGCCTTTAGTTTTCATCTGTTTAACAAGAGGATTCTCTGTTCCTTCTTCAGTTTAGATCAGCATAACCAGACCCCAGGCAACATTGCCATAGACAAACAATCTGAGGTTTACAAGATGCTGCAGGAGAATCAAGAGTCAAATGAGCCACCCAGACAATCTGCTTCATTTCTTGTGTTGCAAGAGATCTTGGAGTCAGAGGAGAAAGGTGAGTACCTACTGCACACTTGATCTGAGTGTGCTCTTCCCTTCTGCCGAGTAACATTTAAAACTTTATTTTCCATGTAGCTGTTGATTGTTCAAAGTAGCAAAGTTCTACAGAAACCTACAAACTCTGTCACTAATTTGATTCCTTCATAGTCTCTCACTGGTTAGTCTCAGTGTCTGTGGACCCATATCATTGCTTAATCATTGAGTGCTCCAGAAATAAACTCTTGCAACACTTAGTTATCAAGAAGGAATTTTTGAAGTTACAAAGCCTCCTATAGTTTATAAAGTTTTGCCCTTTAAGATAATATTCACTGATTAAATACCATTTTAGATGGTATCACAAGATAGTGCTCTTCAGTGAGTCCTAGTGCTTCTGAATTCCATCCCCCTACACAAGAAGTATTCCCTTCTGCAGCTGAATGCAAAAATATAGAAGCTGGGTTACAGTGAACAGTTCATAGCTTTTAACTTCCGAAAATTCACTCTTGGCATTCTTGATCTGACATCTGGACTTGCACAATTCAGAGCTATAGAGTTTAAGATAAAAAAAGCCAGTTAACTTATTTGGGGGCTAAATCGTGCTCTCTTCTTCCCTTAAATAAAATAAAATAAACAAATGAATGGGAAAAGAATTCCAAGAATGACTTTTTTTTTTTGTCCTGAGGCCAGTCTTTTGTGTTATTAGCTTGGCAGTGGTACATTCAGTTTAATCCAAAAAATGCCTGGTGCTGAGATACTCACCACAAAGAGAAACAGATCAGCCAAGTGCTGATGGGTCTGAGGGATCTGTAGAAAACAGCAAAATGAAGGAAATAAAGAAAGAATAGGAAGAAAGAAACCAGAATCACTGAGTCTTTAATATGCTGTTAAAATACCTACCTGAAAGAGTCTTTTAAATACTGAGTGTTTGCAGCTTGCCCTCAGGGTTCAGCTCCTGCATGGAAGGAGTAGCCCGGACTTCTCAGGAAGCCAAGGTCCTCCCCTGGGCTTAGTAGTGGTGAAGAAGATAAGAAGCAAAAGTCTCTGTTTTATCTTTCTTTGAAGATTTGCAGCATTGTTGGGATTCCCTGGCACAAGGTTTGCCTGCCCAATCACGGGGCTGGGAGAGGCTCTGGCATTATTCCACAGTGAGCTGATAATGCCCCATGGCCCAGCCTGCCGTGCTGCTCCAGCATCAAACACAAACTGCTTCGAGTCAGATCGTTCCGTGGGATAAATGGCACACTGGGTGGCCAGTCCCCCAGCCTGGCTCAGGCAGTGGCTTGTGAGTGGCAGCTTGAGCCATGGGGCCCTTGGGGCACCGCTGGCTGTGTGGGCTGACAGCATCTCTGACTTAAACCAGCTGAGAGCCTGGGCCAGGCACAGCGCCTGTGTGGGTGTTTGCAAGCACCACGGCTGGTCTTTTACCTTACCCTGGACTCAGAAATGGAGAGTGTTCCACTGGGTGGGACATGCCGCGTTTCCTGTGGGTGTTTGATTAGGAGAGATTTAGAAGAGTGTTGTCAATGTTGCTGGTAAGAGCAAAGTGCTGGTTGAGGCAAAGGGAGTGAACAGAAGTGATAGAGAAGAGTCTGAAAATGTGATTGCTGCTGCTTGCTTCCCACTGAGGGTCACTTGCAGCAATTCTTGGAGGGCAGGTGGCTCTTGCTATGTTTTGAGGGTTAGGGAACTTGCACCTCTGGACCAGCATCTGCACAGAGATGGGTGCAAACCTCTGAGCTGAAGGCAAACCAGGGCAGCTGAGGTAGGCACTTCCCACCTTTTTCTTTCAGCTCTTCTGTCAGTGATGCTGCCCTGGGCTTTGATGAGTCGCTGACATTGCTGATCACCAGGGTGTGTCTTTGGAGGGCTTTTCTGCCCCTTGCACTGGGAATGCCCATTGTAAGTGTGCTCTTGACACTGTTTGACAGTTTGACACTGATCAGAAGGGTTTCATCAGTGTCCCTCACAGTCCAAGGTATTTCTGGTGAAATATCCTGGGAGTCTCAGCAGCCTCCTTCCCTCGTTAACTGGTGTAGAACCTCTTGGAAAAGTCATATAATCTTAGTCCCATCCTTGGTGTCATTTTATAAAAGGCTCCTTTTTCCCTGCAGATATTTAAAGGCTTGCCTCGTATCCTGCATCTAGGATCCACTGCTGGTTTAGGCATCCAGGTCAGCACAATGTCTCCTGCAAAGGCCCTGCAGGAGTTCCCTGCCCCAGAGAAGTTGCAATAGGGAAATACCTGGAGCATGCAATGCAACAGCAGGGGAGTGCAAGGTTATCTATCCACAGTGTCCCAGGGCTCCGGAAGAAGGAGTTTGTTAACCAAATCTTCCAGGAGTCCTGGGGGAACCAGCTTCACTGTAAAGCAGACAGCAGATTGGAAAAGGGCTTTGACAGTCCTCCCAAGCCCAGCAGAACACCCACCTCTTTCTGAGCTCAAATCTGGGAATCAGCTTGACTCTGAGTGTGTGATCAGGACACATCAGGCAGACTTCAGTTCTGCCAAGGCTGGGGCTTTGCTTTGCTTTGTGCATCTGTGCATGTGAGACACATCAGCTGAAGTCTGATGGGCTTTTAAGATGAGAAAATACTTTCATCTGACTGCCCACCGTCTCAAGCCCTCACATTTCCAGGGCGAGGTTCAGCTGTGTCTCTCCTCTCCTTCCTCCCCACGCATCCCTAAATCCCTGCCCACTTTCCATGCATGAATCCCTGCCTCAGAGCTGGGGTTAAAGAATATCATGCCCCCAGCAGAGCATCTGCTTGGGAGGAGCAGCCTCAAGCCACGCATTTCACATGCTCTGAAGCACTCTCCTTCCACCCCCAGGAGACCCTACCAAACCATCTGGATTTAGGAGCGTCAAAGCCCCCACCACAAAGGTGGCCTCGTCGATTGGGAATGCCCAGAAGCTGCCCATGTGCGAGAAGTGTGGAACTGGCATTGTGTAAGTAAACCTGTCCCTGGGGTTGCAGGTGAGCAGCCCATGCCTGTGCCAGGGGCTGAGGTACTGCACCCAAACAACTTCACTTAGCCAGTGCATCCAGGAGACTCAAGGCACATTTATTCTCACTAGCTTTAGTAACACTAACTTTGCAGTTCCCTGCAGGGAGGCAGGAGTTGGGTTTCCATCTACAGATCTGTATCAATGGAAACCAGAGCAAGTTAAACCTTGAGGCAGTTGTTGCTGCAGTCTTTTGCTTACCTGAAATTTGTTTACAGCATTTGGAAACAAAATGACCTTTCCATTCAGGGCCTGTGTATTTAATGCATTTCCTGTCTTGGTGCTCCCAGGCATGGCATGGAGACTTGCCTTGGTGGTCAGAGGCAGTGGGGATTGTGGAGCTGTGTTCTGCTCCCCACTCTCCTATAGGACCTCACATCTCCACTGTGTCTATGCAGACTTTTTTTTTTCTTTATGTGGGTAAAATCCAACTCCAGCAGACCTGGAGTTTGGGTTTAATACAGAACTGCTGTTTCCTAAGTGTGACCACATGGGGGATCCAGCATTAAAAACCCATGTCTTCGAGTTGCTCAGTTTTTCAACCTCAAATTCTTCCCTTCAGCCCCTTTAACTTAACAGTTGACTATACAGCAGTCAAGTACTGCATTGTCATGGAAGAACTCTGATTTTTCTGATGCTGCCTGCCACAGGCTATGAGATTGTTGCTGAGACCCACTACACTGTGATTGCATGGTCCTGGCATGCCTGGAGCATCTGGACTGGCAGATTCATTACAGAGGCAATCCTTACCCTGTAAAATACGAATGAGACAAACCCTGTAATTACTCAACTAACTGGGTAGGTCTGAAGAGAAAGCACAAGGCCTTGAATAGCACTCAAAACAAATGAATTACAGAAAATAGAGATGGCTGCTGGAACAGAATAATACTGGAAAATTGTTTTCCAGTAAAAGCTGGCCCACATTTGGCTGGGTCTGTTCACTGCAGCTCCTAAGCAATGTCTGAGATGAAAACTAGGATCTGGTCTCTGTGCTTCTCCCACATGTCAGTCACTAGCAAAAGGGCAGTACTGGCTGTGCATTCATCCCTGCATTTCTGCATTTGTTTTGCCATCCAGTTGGCTTGTACCTGGATTTTGCTTCCTCAGCTGTTCAAGCTACTGCCTGCCGTTTGATTCTGGGCATTTAAATGCCTTTGGGCTGTCTGCAGCCACCAGCTAAAGATGCTACCACAGGTAATAGGACTGTCCCTGTGTAACTTACTCAGGTCAATGCTGGGAAACGCTTTAGAGGAGAGTTGCCATGCCAGCAATGTTGGGCTTCTAAAAGTGCTGGTAACAACTGCGTGACCAGAGGCAGGGCCTGTACTTTGACTTGTCAGGAGCAGAAAAAAACTGTTCACCTTTGGGACTGGTTTGGGTGTGGGCTGGGTGGGAGGTGGCTGGGGAGGAGGGAGACAATGATGGGCACTGAGGGGTGCTGGTTCCTCCCCAGAGGGATGTTTGTGAAGATCCGGGACAAGCAGCGTCACCCCGAGTGCTACGTGTGCAGCGACTGTGGCACCAATCTCAAGCAGAAGGGACACTTCTTTGTGGAGGATAAAATCTACTGCGAGAAGCACGCGCGGGAACGGGTGATTCCCCCGGAGGGCTACGAGGTGGTCACCGTTTTCCCCAAGTAAACAGCTGCTCACAAAGCCAGTGTGGATGATTTATCCTCTGCTGACTTTCCTTGGAGAGCATTATCCCTACCCCCTGCAGAATCTCGTTTGCAATAAGGAATGCTAGGCATGGCTTTGAATTTCCTTGTCATTATTAATCCTCCATTTGTTCACATGAGATGTCACTAATTGTTCAACATTCTTTTCATCCTCTCTTTCACTCTTTTTTCCTTTAATACACAGGAATTTTTTTTCCTTCATTGCACTGTCAATCACACAGGAAAATCAGAGGCCAAAGTCAGATTACAACTTTTCTGTGTTCTAGTTATTTGCCGTCTGTTTGCCTTCAATAAAAGGGGTGCATCCACAAAGCAGAAGTGTCTGCTTTCTGCTGTTGTCCTTGTTTGCTGGATTGTGGTTCCCTGAGCAGCAGAAGAGATGACCAGTGCATGGCTGTGTTTATCCTGGAGAACAGTGTGAGGGATTTACCAAGTTGAGTCATACTGGTTTTGGTGCCAGCTGAGCTGTGAGCAGCTGTCTGCTGGCACCCAGCAAGGGGCAGGTGGGCATAGCCAAGCCTCAGAGCAGACTGGTGGCCTGTACCCACTGCAAGGAGCCAAGAGCTGCTTCCTCTGTGGCCAGCACTGCTTCATGGTGATGGGGCTGGGCACATCAGTGTTTCCTGCTACTGCATCACCACAGATGCCCCTTTGTTCCCCACAGTCCCAAACTGAGCTTTGTGAGAAAAATGATCACATGATGCTTGCTGGAAACCAAGGAATCTGAGAGGGAAGAGGGGGTTTGAGTGGCCACAGTCCCGCTTCTGGCTCCCTCTGGGGGGAAGTACGTGTGGCTGCCCAAGGCATCACCTCGCTCCTGGTGCTGCTGCAGGGCAGAGCTGCTGGAGGGTGCCTTGGGGGGTGATGTGGGGAGGGGGCACATGCCCATCGTGCCCTGGGCAAAAGGCTGATGGTGCCTGAGGAGCAGAACCTCGACCTGTGTAGAGTACAGAGGAGCCCTGCAGTGGTTATTTCTCTCACCTCTAAATGAGATGTTGGCTGTTCTTAATCATGTAAAAATAAATGGTTTCTAAGATGTGTCATCTTTCCTTTAAAACGGATTGCCAGTGGAAATCAGCAGGGTGGGTTTGTAGGTGTACACAGGCCCTCTGTGGCCAGCACAGGGCCCCTGGAGTTAGTGGCTGCATCTGCAACAGCTACAGACAGGGTCGTGTCCCTGCTCTGAAAAGTCCTGTCTGTGTTCACCAGTGCTGTACTGCTGTACTGCTGCAACCTGTGTTTCCTCTCCGTCACAATGAATCATATCACAGCACAGCAGCATTGTAAAAGAAAATAGAAAAAAAACCCAAACAAAACAACAAAAAAACCAAACCAAAACAACCAAGCTCAAACCACAACCCCAAACCCAATCTTCATCTGAGGTAAAGCTGAACTGACACCAAGGCTATAAGCCTCTGATTGTTCAGATAAACTGTGCAGCTTTTGGGCAGGTTGGGCAGGAACCTAATTCACCAACCCAGCTAAATTTAGTTCATCCTCTCAAGCTCCTTCTATGAGGCAAGCAAGCGAGGCTGCCATAGCTCAACCACCAAACTTTGTTTGGATCATCCCTGGGAAAAGCTTGGCTTCTCTGGGCCACTGGCACGTCAGCACACACCTGCACGAACTCCAGAAATACAAGCAGCTTTTTTTCGAGGTGAGAGTGGAGTGGAGGGATTTTTTTTCCTGCTGGGATGATGTCTCCCCTCACTACTGCTTATGGGGGTTAATTGTCTCCACAGCACACTTCCACAGGGAAAGGCTCTCTGTGCTGCAGTGCTGGCAGGAGGGTCTGCACTATAACCCGGTGCAGTAGTGGGAAGGATAGACCTGCAGGGGTGAAGGAGTGACCCTGTAGGAACAAATTGCTCTGGCTGTTTTGTGGACCAAGCCACAGTAGGACTGTGGCTGCTCCACAGCACCTGCTTTCTCAGCAGGCTGGGGGCTTAGGGCTCCCCCAGGAAAATGCCGCCTGCTGAGGCCATGTGGAGCGCTGTGTCCCAGCCCCAGAGCCTGGGCTGAGCATTCCAGTTCCTACAAAGTCACTACATTACTTTGTACACAAATGTCTGTCAGCAAAACAGCACTCATTCCAGAAAACCTCATGATTCTGGGGGCAAGGGCCTTAGAGCCTGGCCTGTGTCTGGCATTTCCCTGCCCTCCCACCCAGTGCCACACTACAAACAGCCACAAGCCCTGCTTTGTGCAGGGCCCAGGCTCCTGCAGCCAGGCTGGCAGCACAGCTGGGAAAACTGACTGCAGGGGACTACAAAAGATTTGCGGAGTAGTCTGAAAGTATAGGTTTCTAATGTGGATACCAGAGTTGATCCAGTTTATTATGTGGGAATGGATTAGGTGAGGAAGTTCGCATTTGTTACCTGAGGACTTTGATCACTCTCTAATGTAGCCGGCTGAGAAAAGTTATGTATTTATCTTTTATGATGCAGGGCAAAATATTTGACAACTGCAGTGTTCACTGTAGTCTGACTTTCCAGATTCCTCAGGAGTTAAACAGTTGGCATCTGCAGTCTGTCAACAATAACAAAATAGATTAAATAGGGTCACTCATGCCTTGCAACCACACTGAGCTGCCTGCTTTGGAAGTTATCAATCATGTAAGAATACATAAAAGGTTCCTGTGAAGTGTGTTGGGCAGTTTGAGTGGGTGAGCATCCTGCCAGAGGGACTGTCTCACAAAGGTGGGCAGCACAGTACAAAGCACAGTCTGTCATTTTTAACACTGATTAAATTGATTTTGCACCATATTGCAGGTTAAGCAGGATAGATCAGTCTTCAAAAGTTATGTAGGCTGTGTGGGAGCAGCTGTCACTTATTAAGTCTTTAACAAGATTAGGTTGAGATACAGAGTTTAATAGGGAAAGCAAAAGCCACACACACAAGCAAAGCAAAACAAGGAATTAATTCACTCTTTCCCATGGGCAGGCAGGTGTTCAGCCATCTCCAGGAGAGCAGAGCCCTGTTATGCATAATGATTACTTGGGAAGATAAACAGTGTCACTCCAGACATCTCCCCTTCCTCCTTCCTTCCCCCCTTCATACAGTGACCATGATGTTACCTGGTCTGGAATATCCCTTTGGCCAGATCAGGTCATCTGTCCTGGCTGTGTCTCCTCCCAGCCTCCCACGTACTCCCAGGCTCCTCACTGGCATGGCAGTATGAGAAGCAAAAAACCCTTGGCTTTGTGTAAGCCCTGCTCAGCAGTAACAAAAAAACCTCTGCATTATCAGCCCTGTGCTCAGCACAATCCAAAACACAGCCCCTTACCAGCCACTGTCAAGTAAACTAACTCTACCTCAGCCAAAACCTGCACAATCATTTTTTTCTTAAATCATGTAGCTCTTCACTGGAATTAAAGGAGGCATGAAGGAGACTAGCACAGTGTGTGAATGTAACATGTGGAGACAGCACATGCTGGACTGCATTACTCAGGCTAATAAGTAACCGAACAGAAAAATTGAACTCTTGTCTTCAGCAATTACCAGCAAGACAGGGCTTTCACCAGACAAAGGTCAAAGCCAGCTTACTCATTAACAGATTTATCTGTTCCCTCAGCGGTAAGTATAAACATCTCTAGCTATTGAAGATTCCCTTTTCTTTATCAGGCCAATAGAATAATAATGATCATAAAGTGAATGAAAACAGGTTTCTGAAGTCTGAGTTGGTAGGTTTTTTTTCATCTGTGTTATCTATGCCATGTTAATGAGCACAACTGCAACTGTGATAGCTCCAGCTGCAATTCCATGACTGCAGCTTTTAAATGACACCTAAAAGACATTTTCACAAACCAGAGCTGAAAGTTTAAAAGCTGCCCGAGTCATCCAGTGCTGTGTCCAGTTCTGGGCCCCATGCTACAAGAACGACACTGAGGTGCTGGAGTGTGTCCAGAGAAGGGTAGTGAAGGTAAGTAAGTGTTCTGGAAGAGGAAAGTGCAGAATGTCCGTGTGGGTCTGTGAATGCCAAGGAGTACTGTCTGGGAAGAGAAGGGCAGTCAAGAGGTAAAGGATATTGCATGTATATTTAACCTGTAAGAGTTAGGTGTCAGCAAGGGTTTTCAATTTAAAATCATAAAATCATTTCATTGGGAAAGACTTTTGAGACAGAGTCCAATCATCAGGATGGCACTGCTGGATCCACCACTAAATCGTGTCCCCAAGTGCCACATCCACATCTTTTAAATACTTCCAGCTACGGCAACTCCATTGCTTCCCTAGGCAGCCCATTCCAGTGCTTCACTTTTTTAGTGAAGAAAATTCCTAATATACAATCTCAAACTTTCCTAGTGCAACCTGAGGCTATTTCCTCTTGTCCTATTGCTTGTTACTTGGGGAAGGGACCAACACCTCCTTACAAGCTCCTTTCATAAGGTCTCCCTTCTCCAGACTAAACACCCTAAGTCGCTCCTAAGACTTCTGCTCCAGACTCTTCAACAACTTTGTAGCTCCCTGCACATGCTTCAAATGGGCAACTCAGCTGCACAGGCTGACCAGCAATCAATACAGAAGTAATGTCTGCACCAGAAAGATTTAGGCTTTTTTGGGCTCATTACTTTTTGGTTTCTGGGGTTTTTTTGTTTGGTTTGTGTGGGGGTGTTTTTCTTTAAATGTATGACATTGGCTAATGAGCTAAATGGAGTAGCAAAAGTGTGAATTAAAGGACACAAGATAAGCTTCGCTTGTTTAAGAAGCCAAAATCCACACTTTTAGAACAAACCAGATATTTATTTAACCAAAATAATTTGCAGAAGTTAAAAACAGCAGCTACACAAATGGCTTTAGCAAAGACGCACGTCTCTCTCTTCCAAATAAAACTGTAATTGACACATTTTAAAAAACAACCAAAAAACAGGGGTTTAGGACTTCCACAGGAAGATTTTTTTTTAACAAATTTGCCAGTTTATACCACTGAGCACAAGAACTAGCTGCAAATGTGAAACATGCTCGTTTTCTTACTTCTTTATGAAAGCCTACTAAAGCTACAACTATCACCTGCATTATGCTCTAGAACAGGTTAAAATTCACTGGAAGAACACAAGGGATTTGAACAAGGCCTTAAGGAAAGTCAGCATCAAGGACCAGTGACATCTCTGGAAGATCTGAAAGACTGCTTAGAGGCCACATTTGCATATTAAAACACACACTCTGCATTGGACTCTGATGACTCTTCTAGGACTTTGAAGACACCCATTTTTTCCTTTTTCATTTTTTCAGAGGTCTTCATTTGATCTAAGATTAAAACAAATCAAAGGTCAACAATAACAGGTGTAGTAGAAAACATATTTGGAAAACAAACTGACAAAACCATTTTGCAGCACTGGAGAACAAGTTGATAAAACCATTTTGCTCCTTCATCAACAGCTGGCTACTAGAAGTTTGTGTTTGAAAATATTTTTCAGCTGTATGCTTTTAGAAAAAAAAATCCAACATCTCTGGCTAAATGTGAATGGATAAAAGCCATTTTAAAAGTTGCCTGAACTAGTCTCATTTTCCTGATAAAAATACCCAGAAAACCTATTTAGTGACATTACCAGGAGGAACAAAAGGTAACAGTAAGTAATATTCTTTCCAAAAATTCAAAGATTTGCAAACTTGTTTTCCTGGCAATTGCAACCACTTTGTTGCCCTTCCAGTGAATATTAAGCTAATGAAAAAGTATTATATTTATATAAATTTAATAATTATGGCCTACCAGGGTGGGAGCTGGCATTTCACTTTCTAAAGCACTAAGTGCAGTTTGCTATAGCATATATTCAGTATATGATGCCAGACTAATATTTTGTATTATTATTTTGACAACCTTATTATAATTTTGGTTAGCATAGCAAATAAGAAAGAAAGCTACTACAATAAATACGTTACACACTAATAACACAAGATAAATAGCACCTCCTTCAACTTGGAAAGAGAAATCAGATTGTTTCACAGTCTGAACTTGTAAAGATATAGACCTGATTACCCATTCATTAAGAACAATTTTCTATACATATATTATGTATATTATTATGTATGTTATCAGTC